TCACCATCCTCCCTGAGGCTCACAGAGCAAAGAAGCTGCTTATCCAAGGCTGCACAGAAGCCAAGTGACAGAGATGGGGTAAGTGGTAGACAGTCCACGCTAAGGCCTGCCATTGGCCACAAATATTGGTGAGGGTGGAAAGGATGGACAGCAGACAGACAGGTGACCTCAGATTCTCTTCCCAGCCTGAAGACAGTGTCAGCCACACTTCTCATTCCTCCTTTGGCCTTCTTCAGCATCCTCCTTGCAGGCCCACATCTCTCCGGAAGCTCTTGGAATCCTGCCCGTTCAGAGGGAGGGGTTGCCAAGCCCCCTTCAGACTCACGGATGGAATAATCAAGCTCATATGCCTTGGAAAATGTGCTGGGGGACCCCCAGCCCCCCAACCCATTTCACACTTAGATGCAAACGACACCCTCAGTCCCCAGGGCTCCCAGAGCGTTCTCATTCCATTTGTATCAACGTGCCCCACACATGTATGAGCCAAGTTCTACTTTTGGGGGAAAGAAAAAAAATCAATTTCTTTCTGCATCTTGGCATCTGTTTTTCCCAAAGTGCCAAGGAAATTCCATCTCTGATAAATGACAGGCAGCCACCAGAAAAGCTTCGGTGTTTATTCCTTGCTGGGGAGAGAAACGGAGCTCAGACCCTCCTCTCAGCATCCTGGAAAATGCATTTTCTCCATTTTCCGGAGGGGCCGGGAGCAAGGCCTTCTCTTTTCTCTCTCCAAATGACCTCTGCCCAGACCTGGAGTTCCTTCCAGAGCAGTTTCTGATGAATTATGGAGTCCAACAGTCCTGGGTAGCAAAGTACCCTGGGCTTGATAAATGGCTGTTTCCATCAATATCGTCATTCATAAGACATCACTGCATGCACAGACTGTGCCAGGCCCATACCTTGTGCCACCCTCTGTGTTAAGTGCCTTAAACATCACCTCACTTACTCCTCCCAAAACCCAGAGGAAGCAAAGGCAGGAAAACTGAGGCTTCAATAGAGGCTGAATCGTGTTCCCATGGACATAAAGCTAATAAGCGGTAGGTCATCAGCTAAGTGATACCACTAATAAGTCGTATTTGAATCCAGATGGGTCTGATCTGATTCCAAGTCTGAGCTCTTAAAAAGTCTATGCCATCCTTCTTTCTAAGTGTGGTGGGTTGAATAATCCTCCTCTGCCCCACCAAAGCCACCCATGTTCAAATCCCTGGAATCTGCAAATACAGTACCTTAAGCATAATAAGAGGGACCTGGCAAATGTAAGTGAGTTAAGGATCTTGAGATGGGAAGATTATCCTGGATAATCCAACTGGGCCCAGTGTCATTACAAGGATCTTCATAAAAGGAAGGCAAGAGGGTTTGAGTCAGTAGCAGGAAATACGATGATAGAAGAGGTTGGAGTGATGGAATGCAAGCAGGAAGAGAAGGGGCCAGGAGCTGAGGCATGCAGGCAGCTTCTAGAAGCTGAAAAATAAAGGAAGCAGATTCTCCCTGAAGCCTCCAGCAGGAACCAGCCCTGCAGAAGTCTTGATTTTACATTTGTGATTTTCAGAACTGAATAGAGTGAACTTACTTTTTTTTAAACCAGTAAGTTTGTGGTCATATGTCACTGCAGCCACAGGAAACTAATATACTAAGCATGGACCAAAATAAATGAAGGAAAGATACTAGAACAATAAGTGAATGTCTGGAAAGGTGGTGGATGAATGAGTGACACATAGGAGCATTCAGGATGGCTTGCCCTTGATATCCCAGCGGGTCACTGTCTTCTCTACAGCTCGGGACCCATGACAGAGTGGTTGGCATTACCACTAGCCCTGTAGCCCTTCACTTACTTATACCATTATTTAATCTTAAATCATTTTTGCAGAGAAGAGGACGTTTGAAAACTTCCTATGATGGTACACCTTACATACCGTAAAGTACAAAATCAGTAAATTTTTACAAGGATATAGAGCCATGGAACCATTGTCAAGGTCAAGATACAGAACGTTCTTATCGCTCCAGAAAGTTTCTTTGCATTGCTTCCTAATTGATACCCCCGTCACCAGAGATTAATTTGCCTGTCCTTGAACTTCACATAAATGGGATCATGCACCATCTTTTCTTGTGTGCCTGGCTTCCCCTGCTCAATGTTATATCTGTGAGATTTATTCACGTTGTCACATATGTCAACAGTTTCTTTCTTGTTCATTCAATTTTTAATCCTTTCTTCTTTTGAAGGACATGTGGCTGATTTTCTCCAGTTTGGGACCCTAATGAACAGAGGTGCTAGGAACATTCTTATACAAATCTTGTGGGAGGTTTAAGCACTCATTTAGTGTAGGTGCATACCCGGGAGTGGAACTGGCAGGGTCCTAGGTAGGTGAATGTTTCACTTCAGTGGACACCAGTCATCCTGGATCTGACTTGAGGAATGTCATCCTTGCCCACAGCAGCTTTCTCTCCAACAGATCTGCCCACGTCTCCACATTGTGTGGCTCACAATGCTTAGCAGACATGGAGGCCCACAAACTCCTCACACCCCAGTACAGGAGAGCCTCATCTGACTCTCCTGGAGATGTGGGTTTGGGAGATGTGATGTGGGAGAAGGTGGGGACAAAGGAGGTACCCATCTCCTTTTCATGTGGGATCATTTGTTAACCAGCAAATGGGGTCACTGCCCAATGCACTAAAAGCCAACAATTATGGCACTGGTTTCTGAGAAAAGAAAGACTTTATTGTAAACCTGGCTGGCAAAGAGACAGGAGTCAAGCTCAAATCTGTCTCCCCACTTTGGGGTCTGGAGCAAATTTTAAGGGATCAGAGGGCAAGGGAAAAGATGTAGGAATGGTGGCTTGGCAGGGTCTGATCAGAGGGTTTCAAATTTGACCACTTACAGTAAGATATATTGAGGCAGATTTTAACCCTGGGTCTTCTGGCCCAATAGACCCATCACTTTTGAAAGAGTTCCAGAGTTCAGGCCCTGGTCATGTCCCAGTCTTCTTGGTTCCGAGGGGAGGAATCATGGTTCCAGGTGTTGTTAAAGATCAAAGATTTTTCCATTGTGCATGCCCAGACTCTGCTACACAAAAGGGAACTCTACTTTTTCGGGGGAAGAGACAGGGTCTTGCTATGTTTCCCAGGTTGGTCTTGAACTTCCGCCTCAAGTGACCCTCTCATCTTGGCCTCCCAAAGAGTTGGAATTATAGGCATGACCCACCACACTCAGCCTACTTGGCATCGTCTTCAACAGAGCGGGCCCAGTTTGGGCTGGTCCCAAGGTTATGTGTTCTTTCTGTGTGGGACCCTCCCATGTGCTGAGCTGATGAGGCAGAAGTTTGGAGTTTAGTTGAGTGTGAGGTGGAGACATCTTCCAGACTTAAATCATCAACACGCTGTCCCTGTAATTTTTCCCACATTTGCCATTTTTCTTGGAATTGATTTACTTTTTTCCTGGAAATTGTTTATCTAGGAAGTTAACTTACCTGCAAATATGAAATCAATATGACTTTCCCTAAATAGAGGTTAATCACTACAAACACTCCAATCCAGAACAAAGTAGATCAATTCTAGCCGGGCACCATAACCTGCCAGGGATTCTGAGCCTGAGGCCTCTCTCTGTTATAAAGGCCGATTAGCAAGCATTAGAGAGGTGTTGAAGCTCTATTAGAACCAAACTGAGATCTTTTTTTTTGATGTCATCAGAGATATTGAAAGAAAATTAAAACTGAACACTTTTCTGACTTTATGATAGAATGGTATTTAACGCTGGAAACTTTCCTTATGCTGAGATGGCTTCTATACTTTGAGTAACACCATGTATTAAAAGCCTCCTGGTTGGGAGTCAGATCTTTGTCTGAATGCTATGCTCGCTCTGTAACCCTGGATCAGTGACTTCATCTCTCTGAGCCTTAACTCCCTTATTTGTGCAGTGGCATCATCGTAGCACCTGCCTCAGAGGCCTGCGAGTGTGAATGAAGAACTCAGTAAGTGACTGTGTTCTTGGTATTTTTGTGGTGGGGTCATCTAATGAATCTGATGTCTAAAGACTGATGCCAGCAGTGGGAATGGTCATCCAGACATTTCTGCTTTGAGATTCTTAGGGTGTCTGTTCCTAAGCAAAATCTTCTGTTAGCTTCAGCAAAGTTCTCTGCCATTTGGGGGGAATGTTTATTGCCCTCGGGATTCTGCCAAGGTTAAATGGAGAAAGTGGACCTGGTGAAACTCACACACTTTGTCACTGGCTCGCAGGCACAGACGCTAAATCTGATCCACTGGAGAGTAAGCAGGATCTCTCCCATGCATCTGCTCTAATGGAGGTGGTGAGATGTTGGGACACAAGATTCCCTATTGGACCCACCTGTGTCCCAGCCCAGTTTCACCGTCTATTTGCTGCATGTTTTTTTTGGTTTTTTTTGACACAGAGTCTCACTCTGTCACCCAGGCTGGAGCGCATTGGCGTGATCTTGGCTCACTGCAACCTCTGCCTCCTGGGTTCAAGTGATTCTCCTGCCTCAGCCTCCAGAGTAACTGGGACTACAGGTGCCTGCCAGAACACCCAGCTAACTTTTATATTTTTAGTAGAGGTGGGATTTCACCATGTTGGCCAGGCTGGTCTTGAATGCCTGACCTCAAATGATTTACTCACCTCGGCCTCCCAAAGTGCTGGTATTATAGGCGTGAACCACTACGACAAGCCTATTTGCTGCATGTTTTAGGGAATGTCACTTCTCCTCTCTGGGTTTCAGTTTGCTTATCTTGTAAATGGGAATATTCGAACCTTGTAGGGTGAGATGAAGGCTAAGATGAGATGATGCACAGAATATTTACTGGACAAAATAATGAAGTATTTACTGGACAAAAATCATTACTATAATTGTTCTTTCTTGAGGAAGCTATAGGCTGCATTTAAAAGTTCTGCAGAGCTGATTCTGCCTCTTGGACTCAGGATCATGCTAAATGCTTGTTTCAGAAAGACCTTGCCCCCGCCCCGCTCCAACTCCACAATTTTCATTCTATTCCAGATATTTGCTTGTGTGTTCTCCACCGCCCAAAGCCAGGTGGGCATTCTGCAACAAAATGTCTGGAGTAAGACATTTCTATGGTTATGTGACCAAAATACAACTCAAATGGACTTTCTAACAAGAGAAGGATTTATTTTGGCTCAGAGACATCAAAATTCACAAGGGATTGCTTCAGGTATGGCTTGATCCAGTTTCAAAGAAAGCTCACGAGATCTTAGTTTCTCTGCATCTCTACCTTCCCCTAGGCTTCAGCTGCCCTGATGGTAGCAAGATAGCATGCCAGGAGGCCAAGCTCACTTCTCCCAGATGCCCAAATCCATAAAAAGCTAGAACCTTTCTCTCCCAGTCAAAGGCTTATTGGTTCTGATTAGGTTACCTGCTTGTTTCTGAACCAATCACTATGGTGGGAGAGGGATATGGGCCATGTTGATTGGCTTAGGCCAGGCAGGACCTATTTTTGGAGGTAAGTGTACAGTCAATCACATGCAAACCCCACTGTTGGAAGAAATGTGGATTCTGGGGATCATCAGTGCCAGAAGAGGGTGAGGGGTAAAATGATGCTGGGGCTGCAATCAACTGATGTCCCAATGTTTTTTTCAAATAAATAACAAAATTTCCATTATAAACTCAGCAATATAGCAGGATTGAAGGAGCCTTTCTCTCTCTTTCTGTCTGAACTAATTCCCAGTGCCATGTTGCCTGAAAATAACAAGGTTGAAGTCAGAGTGATAAATGGGGGCAACATTGACTCGGCGGTAATTTTGCCTGGAAGCGAAGCTGTAGCTATTTTGGGCTCCTGCTGAGCCCTGGTTTAGCTTAGCTGGTTAGACAGCGGGGCTCATGAGGTCAAGGGTATGAAGAAGGAGCAGAAGCATGGGATTGGTGGCAGAAGTCCTGGATCCTGATCATGCTCTGCCACTTTTCAGCCAAAAACCTTGAGCAAGTCACATATCTTCCCTGGATCATCATCTCCATGTCTCCCTCAAATGTCCTTTTATTCTGCCTCACCTCCTCCATTAGGTCACCCCTACACATCTCTCATCCCAAGACCTAATACCCATCCCAAGACTGCGTGGGATGCTCCTCCATGGGCCTGTATAGCCTTAGACTTCTGAGTTCAAATCCTAGTTCTCCCACTTACTTACTGAATTAACTTTGGACAAGTTTATTAATTTCATTGTGTCTCAGTTTCCTTGTCTGTCAAATGGGGATACTGTGACTAGTACCTATCTCATGGGGTTGTTGCAGAGATTACAATGGATAATTTATGTAAGGATTTAACACACGGCTGGGCTCAGCAAATGGTAGCTTGAAAGAATGGTTCTGAAATCCAAGTGGAATAACAAGCCTATGAAATAAAACTTCTCCCTTACTGTGAAAGCTACATGGAGCTGTGTTTTCGTATCATCCTCTCTTGCACCTCTGTATCTAGCAATGTGCCTGGTTGATAGCAAGTGCTCAATACAATTTGTTAAATCAATGTCCTAGTTCAGCATGTTCTAGGGTAGCGGTCCTCAACCTCCAGACCACATAGCAGGTGGTGAGCAGTGGGCCAGTGAACAAAATGTCCTCTGTTTTTATGGCCACTCTCATGACTCACATTACTGAGCTCTGCCTCCTGTCAGATCAGTGATGGGATTAGATTCTCATAAGAGCACAAACCCTATTGTGAACTGTGAATGTGAGGGATGTAGGTTGCACACTCCTTATGAGAATCTAATGCCTGATGACCTTTCACTGTCTTCCATCACCCTTAGATGGGACTGTCTAGTTACAGGAAAACAAGTTCAGGGCTCCCACTGATTCTACATTGTGGTGAGTTGTATAATTATTTCATTATATATAACAATGTAATAATAGAAATAAAGTGTATAAAACATGTAATGCATGGAATCATCCAAAAACCACCCACCCCCACCCCCTGGTGGGTGGAAAAATAGTAATAACCAGTCCCTGGTGCCAAAAAGGTTGGGGACCTCCTGTCAGAATTGCAAAATTAGGCTATCCATGAGCCTCGACAGAAACATCAAGTTTGAAAGGCCAGTGTGAGCTGGTAGGAGGAGGCTTCCTGTGTGACTGATTCCAGTAGTGCCAAAGTCACTCCTCTTCTTGAAATCCCATTCTTGGCTCTGTCTGCTTCCCACGCACCCAGAGCTCAGAGTTTAGGAAGACCCTTCTAAACATGCAAACATCTACATAAAAATCCACAATCACCATCTTCTCACTGGCTTTGAGGAGCTTGCTAGACTGGTAGCATGTAGAGGAAGAGGACACAGGACAGTACGTTTTCCAGAGTCATGGGTGGAGGGATGAAGAAGTCAGGGAGAGGCTACCTTGCTGGGTGAGACGAAAGGTAGCCAAAGAGTACATTGTTGGTTTTGCCAGAACTTGACTGGCAGTGACTCTGTAAATTTGGTTGGCGGTGTTGCTACAACACCCAAACAAGGTCCCCGCTATTTGAGGAGCACATTAAAGACCCAAAGGAGGTTATTTTACTTGGCATCTTCCCCTCAGGGTGGCCAAGAAGCTGAAGGCACAGGCTGTGCTCCCAAAGCCTTCTTGTACTAGGAAAGGGAAAATAAGCCCCGCAGAACCTGTGGCAGGCAGCTTGCTTTTCTCTTCCCAGAGGCATCCTCTGAGCTGTATGCTGGCAGTGTTCTCTAGCCAAAGAAAATGTCCCAGATGTATGTGTGTGAGCTTGCATGTGTGTCTTCCAGACAAGAACGTCCTTTCAGCCTTACCTTTTTTTTTTTTCTGTTATGGGTTAGTTTTAGCACAATTTATTGCTTAGCTAAGTTAGGAAACTCATTTAAGGCACATCCAGCACTATGCTGTGTACTCACTACACACACACACAGAGAAACAGGAAAATCAGTGATCATGATGATATTGATGATGGTGATGACAAAGATGATGACAAGACAACAGCGATGATGATGCTGATGATGTAAACGTCGCTGCTGCTGAGGACGGCAGGGATGATGATATTGACAACAGCGATGACGATGATGATCATGAGAACAAAAATCTATTGCCCAGTACTCTTCTAGGTGCTTTCATTTAACTTACTAATTTATCTAAGTCCCACATCACTCTGTGAGAAAGGATCGGTGATCATTGAGTCCATCACTTGCTAGTTGCATGCTGCTGGGTAAGTTACTTCACCTCTCAGAGACTCAGTAACCCTATCTATAAAATGGAAATAAACATAGCAGTTTTAGGTAACATGCTTAGTCAATGCCTGACACGAAGCAAGTGTTCCAGAGATCAAAGTGATGCTTACGCAGCCCCACTCGATCCTCCTGTCCACTCTGTGAAAGAGGAAGTATTTTTATGACCCTGATTTTAGAGAATGGTGGGCAGGTTCTCCCAGCTGGGAATGGCTGAGCTGGAGCTCAAAGCTAGTCATGGGATTTCAGTCCTGTGTGCTTGCAGAAGCTGTTTTAGGTATCTGGGCTATTTCTGATCCACAGGGGTCCCTGGGCGAAGGCTGGGCTCAAAGGTTCACACGAGACCAGAGCGGCTTCAGAGTAAACAGAGCAGCCTTCAGCCAGGGTAAAGATGAGCTAAGATGGGAGAGGCTGGTACTTTTGTGCTTATGAAATGAATCGCCAGGTACCTGGACTAGTATAGGTGGCAGAGACACAAGTCACTCAAATCTCTTACCTCCCACCTAAGAAGGCTGATGGTGCTCCTTGATTAGGAGCCAAAAGAACCTAGATAGTTTTTCAGCTCTGCAAATGCACAGATATCCATATTGCTGGAATTACACTATCCATTATGTGGCCACTGGCTATGTTTGGCTATTGAGCATCTGAAATATGGCGAGACAGCAGTAAGATGTGCTGGACATGTGAAATACACATCAGATTTTTAAATCTTGGCATGAAAAAAAAACTGTGAAACATCTCATTAATGATGCCTTACACTTATGTTAAAATGACATTTTAGATCTAGTAGATTAAATATATTATCAAAATTAGTTTCACCTGTTCCTTCTTTGTTTTTTTTAAACATGACTTCTAGAAGATTTTAAGTTGTATCTCTGGCTCATATTGTATGTTTCTGCTCTATAGTTTGTAGTCTACTGAGGTGATTAAACAGCTGGATTAAGAGTTTCCATCCTAGAGTCAAACAGAGCTGAATTCAAATCCCCATTTCACCTCTAACCAGCTATGTGACCTTGGGCAAGTTGCTTCCCTTCTCTGGGCTTTGATGTACCTGTCTATAAAATAAAGGTAAATGTTTGGGAAGATTTTTGTCAAATTGTATGATTTTAAATAAGAATTCTTTTTATTCCTGAACAAAAAAGAAATACTATCAGAAATGCTGGCAACTATTATTGATGAGGAATTCTGCTTGTCTTGAGAAAGGATGGGCTTTGCATTCAGTTAACTCAAATCCAGCCAGAAGCACAGAGACGAACCATGGTTGAGAATTAACATATCATTTCTAGAGATTTTGGAAATCCTGAGGGGTCCCTTGAACCCTAGTGGGCCGTCAGAGACCTCTAAGAAGCTGGAACTATGGGAGAGGAAGGGGGACCATGATCTCTTTCAACATTCACATCTTACAGACAGGTCAATGGTAGCTTGTTCAAGGTTGCACAGTGAGTAGGTGGGAGAACCTGTCCAGGGTCTGGCTCATGATTACTTGCTATACTTTGTCATTACACCCAATTATCACAAAAGTCCCATTTTTAGCCCTATTTAAAGATGAAGAAACAGGATCAAAGAGGTTAAGGCACTTGTCTATGGTCAGGCAGTTCCAAGTGGCAGAGGTGGCATTCAATGCCAGATATACTGGGCTGAAGAGTGTCCCCCAAAATTCCATGTCCATCTGGAACCTCAGAATTGGATCTTATTTGGAAATAGCATTCTTTGCAGATATAACTAGTTAAGTCAAGGTCATACTGGATTCAGGTGGGACCTAAACTCAGTGACTGGTGTCCTTATAAGAGGAAACAGAGACAGGCAGACACACAGAGAGAATGCCACGTGAAGACAGAGAAAGATCAGGGTCACACCTCTATAAGCCAGCAAATGCCAAAGATCACCAGCAACTGCTAGAAGCTGGGAGAGGGGCACGGATCAGATTCTTCCTCAGTGTCTCCTGAGAGGACCAACCCTGCCACCACCTCGATTTTGGACTTCTGGCCCACAGAGCTGTGAGAGA